TAATAATAATAATAACAATAGTAATAAAAAATATGATCATTTCCATTATTATTACTACTACTATTATTGTTGTTATCATTATTTGTATCATTACTATTATCATTGTATCATCAACGTCATTTTAAAAAATCAGTAATGACAATGATCTTTATCATAATCATAAGTCAAGATGCCCCCACCCCCTTCGCCCCCCCAAAAAAAAACCAACCCGAAAAAAACAACAACCCAACAAAAACAAACAAACAATTAAAAAACACAAAAAACCACAATAACAACAACAAAACAACCCCCTCTCAAAAAAACCCCAACAACAACAGCAAAACAACAACAATAACAAAAAAGAAACCCAGACACACACTTTCCCGTCACCACGGGCCTGGGAACAAGGGACATGATCCACGACTTACATCCCAGGCAGCGCCTATCTCAATCACCACAGAGCAGAGAAATCTGACACATTGCGCGCTCCCTGTCTCCCTGTATCCCCGCTGTACCTCGCTCCCAGTATAGGTTAGGCTATCCCCGGCCGGCCAAGCCTCGGGTAGTTTTATAGCTTCCCGCCGAGTCGCCAGCCCTGGACGCCCTCAGCCGCCAATCACAGACAAGATACACCTGTCCCACCTGTAAATTTACCTGTTCCACCTGTAGCTGTAGCTGTACCTGTCTGTTGCTCTCTCTGTCCCAGGTCCTGATTTCTGGCCCGCACGCGCGCAGTCTCACACTTCCACATCCCGTCCCCCACCCCCACCGCCGCGCACCCATCCTTCCTGTTTAACTCTTTATCTCCGTGACAGGCACGTACCGCTATCCTATACTATAAATACAACATTCTATCTACCCAATACCTATTTGAGAAATTTGACGTCAAAGATTTTGAGTTTCACATGTCAAGCTTTTTTTCGAATGCAATTCTTTGAATATCTTGATAACGACTCTGAATAATCTTACTATTTTTATTGAGCACATAGAACATTTGGTTTCTGACCTCCTGGCCTCATGGCTCATATGTCTTAGTAATTCAAAAACAACCAAATATGTCAGATAGAGTTTTGTAATTCTGAAGTAGGGACTGATCAAAAGCATACCTAAGGCAGTGTTGAGGCACATTCCGAACCATCATATTCGAATCAGCAACACGAATTATTTGCATATTTTGAAGTGCGTGTGATGTTGCTTGCCTTTTAAACCTGGAGATAAAGAAAACGAAAGTGAAACATCTGTGTGACTAACGAAATTAGACTTCTCGTTTATTAAGGTACTCCAAAACAGAGCGTATGCAAGCAAGCAAAAACAATAAAAATTAAAGTAAATAAAAAAAATAATAAAACCCACAAAAAAACCACCGAAAAATCCCCACCAAATAAACAACAACCCCCCCTCACCCC